GATGCCAAACTGCTGGTGGGATGCAGTGTGCTTGGGAGGCACCAGCCAGCCTTGGAGCATGAGGGTAAAGCTGATAGGACTGGTGAGGTGTTGATTGCAGGCTCATTACAGTGGTCTTACAAATACAGTGCAGTACAAGCAACAGACAGAAGAGGTAATATTTTTTATTAGATGGACTAACATAGGTGAAAATTTTTTTATTAGATGGACTAACATAGGTGAAAAAAGTGGATAAACTTTTGTGATTAAGATAAGGGCATTCTGAGCATGAAACCTTACCTGAATTTACTGATAAGATTGGATCAAGGTCTTACAGACTGCTAAAGGTCTGTTAAGACCTTGACCGGATCTTATCAGCAGTCTAACAGACTCCTAAAACATAGTCTGCTAACCCCATAAACCCATCAGGAATGCAAGGCTTCAAGTGGAGGCCACAAAGGCACTTAAGTACCTGAAGCAGGACACTGACAGGTCGGAGATACCTCGGTAAAAACCTGTTTCAAGAGACTCCACTAGACTGGTATTGAGGGCTGGGGGTGCTCAAGCTTTGAATTTTAATTTTCAGGGTGGAACCTGAAGTTATGGCTCTGTGTAACAAACCCACCTCGCCTGTAACCAAGGAGCTGGTGCACTTTGAGGTGGGAAAATGTAGACTGGAAACCTTTATTCATGCACAGTGCCTGCCTTATAAATGGAGCAAACGGAGCCCTGCTCAGTTCAGATTGCAGGTACCCGTCCTCAGGAGACTAACCTGGGCTGTGCCTCTGTATGAGAAGAGTCCAGTGTCCCCGCTCTGAAAAATTTGGAAGTTCACACCAAACTGCATGTTCAGCATTGGCTACCTTAAGACAGCTACCCCCCTGAAACACCTCACTCATGCAGGGCTCTGTAGGAAGATGTCAGTGCCACGGTGCAGGCTCCTGGATGCTGTTATAAGGTGCAGGCACCAATCTGTAAGTGTAGAAGTCTTCAGTTTGTCCTGTCTTTAGCCAGGAACCATAGTCCACGGGCAAAAACAGGGGAAAAAGGGAGCTGAAGAATAGGCGAAATCACTTCCTTTGTGAAGTGTAGATTTACTAATTATGAATTTATTCCAGGAAATTTTTATAGATTTGCTGCGACTTCAGTGTTATTAACCTATTTTTCTCTTTTGGAGCTGTGCTTCTCTGTCCTTAAATTAGCTCGTGACCTAACAAAGCATTTAAGCATGTGCAACTTTAACCATCAAAGTGTTTCCAGTGACTTGAGCAGGAACAGTCAGGTGTTAAAGGCAGCATCCATGCCTAAGTGGTTTGCTGGATTGCTGTTTTACACAGTGGAGTCAGTGTCATACATAAATGTTTAGATTAAATGGGAGGGGAAAAAGGAACATTTCTAACATTACAGTCTGATTTCCTTTTATGTTTTGCAGAGGAAAACTGTATGCAAATGCTGCACGTGCCTACAGGAATTCAACCTCTCTTTCCTCCTTTTTGATCTCCCTAATTCTGACAAACAAGTTGTCCATGATTACTGAAGAGAAACTCTCCCCAAGGCATTGGGCCATGGGCATTTTTTGAGAGGCACTGTGGATTCAGGCAGACCCCTGTTTGCCAGCTTCTGGCTACACCTTCCCACTCCAACGCTCTTCCACCAGTTGCACCTCGGTGGAGATGAGGTGAATTGTCCCCGGGAACTGAGCCAGAGTAAAAATAACTGAGGTGGGGAGGGCGCTGCTTTTTTTAAGCAGTCTCCCAGTCTGTTTGATGACACAACGGCACAAAGAGCTGCACCAGCACAGTAGAGGGAGCGTAACCCACCCGCTCCATCAAAGCGCTGCCACCAGAAATGATGTCTGCAAAACAGCAGCCTTATTTCCTCGGCGATGCTGTGCCAGCAGAGTGGAAGGTAGGAAAGTCCAAAGGTGAGCTTCTCCTCTTACTCCTCCGTCCCCTTTCCCAATTCTTTTCTCTCCTGCGAGGGATGGGGTGAGCAGAGAGCAGCTGGGCATGGAGGCTGTTTCTGGTACCGTGCCATTCCCTTGTTCTCTTGCTGTATTGTCCTGTTCCCGGCTCCAGCTTGTGCTGTCTGTTCCTGTCTCTGTGCCGGACCCTGCTGCCTCCTCGGTTGTGCTGACATACCTCTCTGTGTATCCATACCACAATCAAATCCTGGGAGGAATCCAGCTGAAAACAAAGTATTCTTCTTCTGGGCTAATTTTCATCTGGCTCCCAGCTCCAGCTCTGGCGCACGCACCGTGCCAGCATGGCACAGGGGATTGCATACAGGGGAAGGAGAAGGGTCACCAGGCCAAAGGTTTGTCTGGCAGTCTAGAGAGCAAACATGACTTGGAGTATCCAAACAAACATAGTTTACACAGCCGTCACTACCCTTCAGAGCTAACACTTTATCCAGTGGACTTGGGGCATTTGATCTCCCTCCAATGATGGAATCTAGTTGTGCAAATGCTGCATTACAGAAGGGAGGTCCTACTATGAAGCTCTTGCCATTCATCCCCATGGGATCTGTGAGCACGAGACACCTGGATGCTTTGTCCAAGAGACATCCAGCTCTGTGAGTTTGCTGTTCGGGGAGGTGTGGGAAGGTTGGGACAAAACACACTGCTGATCTAATCATACACTCGTTCAGGAGGCACATGGGAATTGTGAGGGCTTCTCATCCCCATCAGTTACACTCACCACTGATGGCTGTAGCCTGCAGATCTGCTCTGCAGATCTTCTCCCCAGTGCCACATGCATCGATCCAGGCAGCTCATTTTGGACAGCCGTGGGCAGCAGGCGAGAGCCCTGCTCACACAGCTTCCACAGAGACTGATCCATGGCAGTCACTTGCTAGCCTTGCTGGCAGCGCCCACATACCTGTCAAAGCATTAGTCTGAGCACAGGGCTTTAGCAATTCCTAGCTGGAAGGCTGTATATAAAAAGAGAGATGAAAGCTTATTTTCAGAGTGTCGGGCTGTGCTGGGTAATCAGCAGCTGAAGATCTGGATATAAAGTAGGCATATATGACTTATTGCTACTTTTGTGTCCTGCACTTTTTTTTTTTTTTATGGTATTACTATTTAATTGCTCACATTATGCCTGTCCAATAATACCATTTAGTGTTAGTAATACTTACTGTTATACCTTCAAAGTCCTTTACAAGCTAGTTAAGAAATGCATAATTAAAGTGAAAACAACCACCTTGGGCTGGGACCTGTGCTTGTGTTTGACAAAGCCAGGCAGGTGCCTGCAGTGCTGTGTATGCTGGGACGAGGAGCTGTGTGATTCATGGCAGGGTTAAGCCAGTGAGAAGAGCATGGAGAGATAATGCAGGGTGATGTTCTCCAAGGCACAAAAGGTCAAGACTCCATGAAACTTTTTCTGCTGAATTTGATAGCATGTGGAAGAGTCTCAAGTGATCAAGAGGGAGGTTGAAAGAATTATTCAACCAATAGAGCATGGCTTTGATATTGTGTCTTCTTCCTTAAATGCAAGACTGAAATCTGGCAGTCAAAAGTAGTAAATCCATCAGAAATGCTTTGTTTCTGTAATCCTAACTTCGAGGATATGCATTACAGCAGCCATCGCACAGAAGTTAGGAAAGTACATCGCAGCCTGGATGCAGCCCTTTGCCTTCAGCTGTGTCCATGGAGTATCAGACAACTGCATCGCTATACAATTAAAATTCAATAAAACAAGTAAAAAAGTTCCCAAAGAGCACTCTCTGGTCAATTTGTTGCAAGGACAGCATGAATCAGGTGTTTGCCAAGGCAGGGCAGTCAGGTTGTAACCAGCTTTGACTGATGCTTTCTGCAAGACATCATGTTCTCGGGCTCCAGCTGAAACAGCACTCCATAAGGTGCAGGGTTCACTTTTGCCTGGAAAAGAAAAATTTCCTTATGGAAAATAAGGGCTCCAAATCTGGCAGAGTTTCTTTAGACACATCTGTGGCTATAAAGAGAATCTTGAGTAAGTAGGTACATTTGGCTTTGTAGCCTTCAAATACAGGACCTGGCTCACTTTCACTTTTTAAAGTTGGTTGATGTTTTATCAGCACAGATTGAGGAGAAACCCAATGCATTGGCACTGGCAGGAAGTGGCTTTTGGAAAGTTACATTTTTCTTTGGATCGCTGTCTGACCTCTGGGTGTGTAAAGCAAATCAATCTCAATATTTATATCCTCTCACTTCGTGAAGTCTAAGCCAAAAGCTATCTAGTATCAAATGGAACAAATCTAGGGAATTCCTTCCTCTCCCCCCTCCAAAGACCCTCTTCTGAAGTTCTAAAAAAATCTCCTGTTTGCTCCATGTTCACATAACTGTCTTCCTTTCAGAGTTCTATGAAGACAGGCTGAGAGAGTTGGGGTTGTTCAGCCTGGAGAAGAGAAGGCTTGGGAGAGACCTTATAGCGGCCTTCCAGTACTTAAAAGGGACTACAGGAAAGATGGGGAGGGACAATTTATCAGGGAGTGTAGGGATGGGATGAGGGGTAATGGCTTTAAACTGAAAGAGGGCAGATTTAGATTAGATACAAAGAAGAAGTTCTTCCCTGTGAGGGTGGTGAGGCCCTGGCACAGGTTGCCCAGAGAAGCTGTGGCTGCCCCCTCCCTGGCAGTGTTCAAGGCCAGGCTGGACGGGGCTTTGGGCAACCTGGGCTAGTGGAAGGTGTCCCTGCCCATGGCAGGGGGGTTGGGACTAGGTGATCTTTAAGGTCCCTTCCAACCCAAACCTGTGATTCTATGATGCTGTCCCTAGAGCTGAGGAGAGGGGAAAGCAGCTCGTGATCCGGATCTCTGTGAGGTGAACGGGGCCAAGCTTGGGGAGAGCTATGGAGGCTGTGCAGGAACCGGAGAGCTCTCCCATTTTTGCCTGTTTATATTCCTGATCTTCTAAATTTGATCTGGGGATGCTGCAGATTTATGACAACACAAAAGCATTTTATTTCTTTGTATCACCTGTGACCCCAAATCTTTCCGGACCAGAAAACGATTCTTGTCCCTGCGCAGGTTTTCTCACTTACTTTCAGCACAACCCTCTGCCCACAGCACACGGACACGCACAGCGACCGCGGCCTCGCCCGGCTGTTCCCGGGGGGGCGCGGGGATGAAAAACACCGCGAAACCTCGAGCCCGAGGACGGAGCCGGGTGAGGGCGGGAGGCAGGGTGGCATGCGAGGTAGGGGGTAGAGAAAGGGGCCCCTGGTCAGCGGGAAGAAAACGTGATCCCTCAGCCCACAACGCCTTATCCAGGGCGGCAGCAGCACCGACCTGGCGCTGTAACACAGCGACTGAAGAAACGCCTGTACCTCCTGTGGCCCTCGCAGGAAAGTAGTTACTCTTCTCTCTGGCGAGAACTTTGTCTGAATAACTATCCACCATCAGTCTCAAGAGACAGCGACTTTACAAGCGATAACCCAGGCACCCCTGCAAGACTCGGAGTTGAGGGGACGCTCC